GCAGCTCAACTTCCACACTGACGCAGCTTGTCCGGTTGTTGATCAGTTATGGTTCGTCTGTACACACATTCAGCAGCGGTAAACATGGCAAAGGGCTTCTCGCATGGCGTCATAACACAAGCTACAGGCTCAATGAAAACACCACGCTTGCTTTTTATGACCACGTCGCTCGTGTACGTCGGCCAGAGAGTGATATTATGTGCACATCATGTGTAGATCACGTAAGAGATCCTGTAGGTCCTTATGCAGCTAAATGCTAATGTGAGACCACATGTCGTCTAATATTATAGCCAATTGCTTCAACAGACCTTCACTTGACGCGGTATGTCGTGTTGGCTGTGGGGTGAGAGCTTGTGCATGTGGCATGTTGTGGTGTGTGGCATGTTGTGGTGTGTGGCATGTGGTGGTGTGTGGCATGTTGTGGTGTGTGGCATGTGGTGGTGTGTGGCATGTGGTGGTGTGTGGCATGTTGTGGTGTGTGGCATGTTGTGGTGTGTGGCATGTTGTGGTGTGTGGCATGTTGTGGTGTGTGGCATGTGGTGGTGTGTGGCATGTGGTGGTGTGTGGCATGTTGTGGTGTGTGGCGTGTGATGGTGCATGGCATGTGGTGGTGCGTGGCATGTGGTCTATGTGGCACTTGGCATGTAAGTGTGGCATGCGCTCGTGAATTTCGTGTGTTGGTGAATGTGTTGTGTGCTAGTGAGTGCCATAGTGTCATGTTGAACATCAATTAAGACGAAAACAAATTAGATATCCGACAATGAAACTCAATGCCAATACACGATCAGTTCCACGCTCAGCAACCTCAAAAGCGCCTACCAAGCCAATCCAGTCCCGGCAGTCAGCGGTAAATTTTGCCAATTTCCTTTTGAAAATAAATTGCCTCAGTTTTTTCTCCGCCTATTTGCCAGCCAACAGGCAATGTCCACCTCGCACCTTCTCCGAATTTCCCGAGAATTTCAAGTCCTTCCTACAACGTGTATTCTTTTTGGGCAGTAAGTCTCTCACGTCTCCAAAGTCACTTCATTTCTGGTCCAAAGTTTCGCCATCTTTCAGAGTCCCCGGGAAAAAAGGGGCATTAAACCTCCCCTGACTTATCCGGGCCTTCTCGAGTAAGCGGCTGTGGGGCTGCGACTCGGCCATAATTTCGTCATTGCCCAAAAACTTACCCCGAAAGAACTGCAATCACCGGCAAAAAGTGCAGGAATTTTCAAAACGCGTGAAATTAGGTGCGTGCAGGCCGCGCCAAATTAGGTGCGCCGCATTTGATTCCGTAAAAATCAACCCCAGAAAAGAACTGTAATCAGGGAAGGGAAAAACCTCTGACAATTTAAAAGCAAGAAAAGAAGGCCGCAGCGAGACTCCTTGTTAAAGCAACGCGGTCATATTAACCATGCTTGCGATACAGGGAAAGGTTAGAGGCATGACCTGAGGCATCGCTAGTACATAGTTTGCAGTACTGAACCTTTACTTTAACACTTTTATTAGATTTTAAACATATAACTGCATAGTTTTGTTATCTGATTTATCAAAAGTGATTATCTGACCTGAGTTTGTTAAAGACAAACGACAGCTTTTTCATTACGTTAATATTCATAGAAAACAATAATCGAATGGAATATGACAAAGCGTGCATGGTTCTACAGGGTTGGCTTAAGAAACAAATATAAAGGCCAGTAAAATGATTCTCTTTAACACAACTTAACTAAGTCGCGTCAATGAGTAATGATATTTTTCATACAAACAAAATGTATTCTTTTATGCCTGTAATATTCTAACTGACACAATATTTAAAGGCACAAATTATAGCGCAAGCTCGGCCCTGCCCATAGCAGATGACCTTTCAACGGCCAGCGTTGTCCCACCAAAAGCTCGATTATATCCTACAAAATACGACCTCTCGTATAGCACAAGATCCCCCAGACTCGCCGCTCTAATCCAGCTCACTATTGGAATAAGTCGCTTTGGCTCCCCTTAGCGGGATCACAATACGCTAATCTCGCTCTAAGCAGATTAACCGCCAGGTTTTGCTCAGACTTGACGACTGTGGAAGACTGGGGTGGCGAGCCGGAGCTTCAGCCATCCTGCATCCACTCATAAAAACGAATGGGTATAATATTGTCTAAATAGTGAAACACTTTCTACCCACAACAGCGGTAGTTTGCGTACGTAAGAGTATACGCCTTTTTGACGGACCAAGCTTGTTCAAGACGACCCACAAGGGCAAAAAGTGTATCGCTATTTGGACAAATTCTCGCTCATTTGTCTGAGTGTAGGATCCCATACCGACGAGGCAAATGGGAGCGCCAGGCAATTACTGACACTGCGCGGGGAATTAGCCTTCAGAATTAATATTGAATCCCTACTGGTTTAACCGTCGCATGTGGCGTGAGGGTATTTGTGTGAGAGCGAAGACCTTGTGTGGGGTGTATAAAGAAAAGATGTTGTTCAACCATTTAAGAGGATTGAAAGACACTGAAATTGTTTTATTTATACACAGTTATTTGCATCGCCTACTACAGGTCAGGAAATCGGTTATCTAGTTTATAGGGAACAATTTCTGCAGAGTAAAAAACATTAAATCTCATTCAAAATCATGTAAACAATCATAAAAGTTTTCTTCCTCGGAAATGTTCTCTCAAACATCAAATCATGTACATGCCATATTGGTCTCCGTCTCTCATTTAATACAAAGTTTTCTTCCACGGAAATGTTCTCTTAAACATCAAATCATGCGCATGTAATAATGGTTTCCGCCACTCATGATATCTCGCTATGAATTAAAAACCGACGCTCCCATTACCCGCTCCTCGCAGCCTGTGATCAACAATTGGGGTGACATCTGAAAACTGTTGAGCGCTTCACACTTCTTGAGGAGCCTCGGCAACTCCCATTATAGCCACCAAAACCAATAGCTCGTAAAGCTAAAAAATACCCCCAAAAGAGCAGCAAAAATCTTCACAATTTAACCCAGTGATTATCAGCAAGGGACGTTCTCTTTCCCGGCGTCGTCCCCTCTCAACGACGCGCGATCTTTTAAGAGGCATTTTTCTAAGCAGCAGTTGGGGAGGTTCATTAACATAATTACAGGATTATTGAAGAAGTTTCCCCTAAAATCTCATTACACTTTCGACGACAGGACAAAAGTGCGGGGAATGGAGTCGGCTCTTGGCGATCGCCGCACGGACGGGGGACATGAAGAAGCTGGAGAAGAATCTTATATAAGACCTGCTTCGGTGGAGCTCAAATTAAGCCTTTGCTGCGCTCCATGGAGGCTATATACGCGAGCATGAATATTCTGAGCCATGAGTATTCAGAAACTGATACGCCCATGACGGTATTTAGATGAGTATTATAAATTTCTATGAATTCGTAAGCATAGATACTCAGTTCACCAAGAGGGAACTCATTAGACCAAGAAAAAAAAACTGTTTATCTGGTGTAGCCGATGCTCCATCATGAATATTCTGCGCGAAGAGTCTTGAACCTGATAAATAGATACCATATCCTTTGTCATAAAAGTTATACCATTTAAAATACGATATCTACAAGACACATACACGACACAAGAATAATAGAATTGTCCGACTCTTTGATAATTTAAATCAATTTATTCTCTGGTAGTTAATCGCACGCGTATAAATCAACAAATTCTGCCATCTCAAACTAATTTTTGACACAAGAATAAATACACATACACGATATTCACAAGACACATGAATGAAACTTGGAAAAAAGTATTATTTCACTTGATAAAAATTACACGTTGAGTTATGAACTAAATCAATCGTCGGGTATTTTGAAGAGCTTACAAGCCAATTAACGTTTTAATGTCACTATTGCTAGGTTATCGGTGAAAAAGTTCACTTAAACAAAAAATCCATATGCAATTCGTTGAGAACAGTTTATTTCTTTACTAAATGTTCAGTGAGAAACTTCAGCAATATTAGGAACGTCGTTGTTATTACTATTGATGGCGTTCAGAACAATGGCCTTTGTGCGGGTGCTATTGTTTCATCAACATTGTTATTGGTGCTATTGTTTCACCATACAAACATCTACTTTAGAATATTTAAAAAATAAATATTTCATCATAAATTTCCGATAACTATTTATCAAACGTCAAACGAGTAAATTGTCCATTAAAGGCGTATATACATATGCCATCGTCTAAAACTTCCCAATGCATAAAGATAATTGCAGGCATAACGGTAAATTTCAAATAGCAAAATTTAAGGAGAATAATGAACTCAATACATTTGCCGAAACCAATCTTTTGCCTCGAGGAATTGAACAAAACCAGTTCAAGTTTTTACATACGTCCCCCATGACTCGTATTGAGAACTACATCTGGACTAGAGAGCGCGACTCACAAAGCTATTTTACTGGACAATTTTAAAGCGGAAATCGTATCGTGCAAATCGCCTAGAAAATGTTTCTACTCTCCTCTAGGTTTCTACAACATCTACTCAAAAAATTACCTGGCTAGAACTGAAACGGAAGCCTCGGATCACACGGATGTTTCTTAGTTCCGTCGAGTGTAGTTCAATTCTTGGAAGTTGATAAAAGAAAGTCGGCCAATGAAACTGATTTAAAGCCGTCATTCTTGTAGAAGCGCAGCTTCATTATGTCGCGTCTATCTTTGTCACAAGAATATACGAGGCGAATTATTTAGCTACATCATTTCAAGCCGATCGCAATCGTTCAAAAAGCTTTCTTGGCAGAACAGCTGCTGCAAAACGGTCATTCATGTTCGAGCACCGATGGACGTTCGTAATATGATTCAAGAATTGAATGCATTACAGGAAATTGGTGGGAACAACTCCTGATGACGTCACCATTTAGGTCATATACCCTTGTAATCACTACAAAATATCCTAGGACTCATCTTTTCAGACCGGAATCCTTATACAAATCAATAAAGACTAGCAAACAACAGGGCACGAGTAGCACAATTCCGTCAACACAGCCCAAAACTTTTGCAATCAGACGCCGCCGACATGAAACCAACTCAACAGCACGGCGAGGAAAGTGAATTAAAGTACAAAGAGAATTCCGCAAACTCGGAATTCCTGAAGCCGGGCATCGCGCACGCGGTCTCCGGAATCCATCAAACGCTCAAGCTATTCTACTCGGTCGGTATGCGCGAGCCTCAGCAGAGCAATGAATGGATCCAGCCTTAATATGAATCCATTGGTGATCTCTAGGCTAAATTTATGGCATACACAGCGACTGATTCTAATGGATATAGACGGAACTAAACAATCTTACCTTGCCTCGTCAGAGATATGCCCATCAGAAGTCAAACATCATTTATTTTCTGGTGGCTTATTCATCATTCAGCTAAGGTTTGTCCTTCGCTAGAACGGAAATTTTCAACTGTATGAGTAGGACATAGCCTATTCTTCACCTGATCAAAAATTTCTTTACGGGAAAAACTCAGTCAAGCGTGGTGGCTGCAAAAAATGTATATTGAACTCATGCAGTAAAATTTTCTGTTAAACAGCTCAATTCAAGTTAACAGGCTGCTCAAAAATGGTGGGGTTTCTTTTAATTAGTTTTTACCGGAATGATGAATAAAATAATCAAGTTATTTTTTCAGCTCGTTGATCATTCTTAAAAGATAATTCTAACGTGATAAAACCGGCACTAAATATCCATTAACCTAAACGGCTAAAAACGAGGCAGCTTCGTGTAAGCGGTATCCTCCGTTTGAGAATCTTCAATACTTTCGGAAATGCAATCACACTAAAATTGACTTTACCATTGCCGAAGCCCACGCTAAGAACAATAAAAGGCCAAAGTCTTGAAGCATGCAATAGGCCTGGAAAGAGGAGACCGGCCCAATTGCCTGACCTCGGGGAAAGCTAAAAGGACAATTCGGATGCCACTTCTATAGAGGTCGTTCCGTTCGAACGGATATTCAGCGGTGCCCTCGTATAATACGGACGACGACCCAAACCGAATCTCCGACCACGGCCACGAATGCTTACGCGAACTCATGCAGGATTGTCGTGCTGCGTAAAATGCTTGCGCCGGCGTTTCAAGCTGCGGTGGTGGTTCGTGGATGAGAATACTCCAGGCTTTACTTTTTCTAGGGATCCGTAAACGAACGTTTTCGAAAGCAATAAAGTGTCAGGTAAGTAAACTTCACGTCTCTAAGATAAATAATAAATTTTTGTGCGATGAGTTTGCAGCCGTCAACAAAAGAACCAGATGCATTTTACAAAATTAAAGTAATGCCTTACAGCAATAGAAAATATTCAGTTGAGAAAAAAAACTTGACGCTTCCCCATGCAGGTTCAACCCCAATCCCCAAACATATTTCTTCTGGGGGTAAATTAGCGTGGCCAGACGCCTGGAATTGGCAAGAGTTTGGCTCGTAAAAGACTTCTATTATAGGGTGCAAAATAGCTGTCGATGAATTCAGCGATGAGTTGAGCTATCTTCGAGACGACGGCGAGCCGCTTCTCCGAGTGCCACGACATGATAATAAAGGCGATAAGGCGCACAATTGGACATCGCAGACACTAGTTTGGTGCGTACACAATGTTCGGCATGAAGACACTACATGTCGGGGACCACTTCAAGTCGTTCCTTCACACCACCGCCGCGCGTTTGCGGAGCTCAGCAGAAAGAATCATGCATAAAACATGACCCAACTCTCTTTGCATGGAAACACAGGCCCTCTCACGGACCGCATACCAAATTGCCTCCACCGAAGAAGAACAGCCAACAGTTGGAAGAGTGAGAACGCTTCCACGCAGCGACAAGATGAGTCCTCAGCTACAAGTACATTAGGGACAAGAAATGCAAACAAAAGAGAGCGTGGAAGCTATAGAGGGATGAAACAGTAAATACTGCCTACAATAACGACTAAAGTGTGGTCACAAATCGAGGCGTAAAACGTGAGACTCTGTGTTTAAAATTGGGGCAATTCGTGCTGTAAGGTGATGGCAGCCATTGTAGGTCACTTCGGCTATTGTAGGGGGACAGAGATCCAATTAATTACGCTATTATTGTTTTTTCCAGATGGTTAAATTATTTGCTAGTCTAAAATCTATGAGTTAAGATAAGCACTCATTGCACCGGATTGTTCTACGCAATAAAACTCGTTACTCACTCACTCACAAGTGTCTACTGACCGAAAACAGCATTTTAAAAAATTATGAATTTAAAATCATTGGTTTTCATTAAACGTGCCTTCTAAGGTAGCCGCGGATATGAGTAATAATATTCCATTAGAAGCGCTTCAAAGAACACTCATGCAAATTCATAGCTTTGATATCGAAATAGAAATCGGCCTTAAGTTTGCAATGTAAACATCGTCGGGCTTCATCATCTGGAGCCTATTTTGCGAGCAACACTTGCCAGGATTTGCCTGCGGGGGCCGACTTGCATACTTACATAAGCCATTTGTGGGGGGCATACATGAATAATAAGGAAGGTCCTTACGTACAGTCGCTGGCTATGGAAATGAAGCACCACTTTGTAGAGGCACGGAAGCAGCGATATTCCAAATACGCAAGATCTTGACATGCGCACGCATAGAAATGCGCGGAATTTCCCGCAAGGTCTACGGTCGAGATATTGTTAATGAAAGCGTCCTTTCATGCAGGTTAGAATTAAGTTATAAAACCTATGTTATTGCGATTGGAAAAATGGGTTACAGACAACAAGTATAAAGAAATTTTTAGCAATAGAGCTACTGCATCCAATGCATGTCCGTGCATGACACTACTGAGGTAACTGAGAATCAAATACCTTCACTAAATCATCAAATGTCGCGCATAAAAAAAACCAGCCGGCTGCAGGAACAGGCACAAAATAGAAACTTAAATTCTACATTGTTTTTGTGTAAATAAAAAGCGTTGGCAGCCGAGCATGAAATGCCGTCAAGCCGCAGCCGTGTATGAGGCGCCACAGCTATACGAGGCTCGGCCTCTGCAGCGCAGTGCGCGACCGATTGCTTAATTAGGTTATCTCTGCAACACGTCAAAAATGAAGTTCTATCATTTCCTTCGTCGCTGCCATTTCCTCTCCTGCGCTCTTTTCCTCCTCGAGATCGGTTCATTTTTGTGGTTCGCTTACCTCGCAGCGACGGGGAGCTTCTCCTAGTAAAATCAATACAAGCACTTCTTGGCTGCTCCCGAAAATCCGGCAAAAAGGCCTGAAAACACTCCATTGCAGCGCCTCTTCCTCTCTCATCCTAACCCTACATCCTCCGTCCCCTAGCTCCCTTCAACGCCCCAACACATCGACCCCTCCTCTCACCCTAGGCCCTTATCTCTCTTTTTTACCAGCTTTTCTTTGTGTAAGTCTGCTTTCGGTAATCGCGGAATAGGAGGCCAAAAAGTAGCGTCGGAGAAGTGCTCCAAGAGGCGCTCCTCTGACCAAATATAAAGGCTCGTCGACCCTCTCAAACCACCTAAAAAGAGGTCTCTAAAATCCTCCAAAAATGTGTAGAGTTTCGAAGAAAATTAGTATGATAACTTTTCTTGCCGGGAATAATCCTTACTAAACTTTGATGGATAAAACGAAGATAAGGCGAAGCAAAATTAGTCTAAAAATCTCTGGGGAAAAACTCTAGAATTGCAGATAATAAGTTTAGCCAAGAAGTTTGGCGGGATGAAAGGCCGCGTAGGAAATAAAATTACACTTGGCAAGACGACTGCTCGGCGAAGACGGCTGATGTTTTCAGCCCAGGTCGTGAAAGGCATTATCGTTCAGATTTGACGGACCCTGTAAGTCGGGGACCGAGGTGCTAAAATTCCCCGTAAAAATAACATCGTGTTGATTCGAGCCAATTCCTTACCGGACTTGAAAGAGAACGTACACTATTTTGATGGCAGCACCGGACGCCGTGTTTTTCCGAGCAGCTGTCGGTCGAGATGTCGCGTCAGGAATTTGTTTACGATCTCGGTAAAGGCAGCGCGTGCAATGCGTAGTATATTTCATATGAAAACTTGGCGGATCGATCGAGCGCCATCCCATGAATTGCAGTTATCAATAATCCCTGCAACTCATAGTGTCTACGCAATAAAAACGTGTAACATTTGAAGAAGAGAATGTTTTTTTTTTTCAAAATTTAAATCTACAAATCGGAGGCGGAAAATGCAAGAAAGTATGTAGCTGAGGAACAAAACAGCATGCATTTGTACTAATCTTGAGCATAATAAAAAATTATCGACATATATTGAAATTCGAAATATGTGTGGTGGACTAATCCTACGTAAATTACAATGATCTAAAAAAGTTTTTAAAAGTCTAAAAGTTTTTATTGACAGTAATAATGTGTTCACAAAAAAGGTCATGTGCGCTGTGAACAAAAATTTATAGTGTATTTTTTGAAAATAAAATATTTCTATAATAACTGAAGTAGACATTGATAGTTTAAAGCGTCTGTACCAGGACAAAACAGTTAGAATTGCTTACAATGCTATCTATACTTATGTAACGTATGATTAATGAATTTATTTATTTTGAACAAATCGTAGCCACATAATTTAAGATTCTCAAAAACGTTTGATAATTGTTTGTTGCACACAAGTATTCTATATACTTAACTAATTCATCGTATGATCGAATACAAATAAGTTCAAAATTTCACAGTTGAACAGATCGTTTTAAAATTACATCTTTTTTCTACAGGCACTCACCAGGGGGACTTTTCTACGCCATATTAACGTTCAAAAATTTGCTTTTTTGTGCGATTCTTGAAGCAGATTATATATACGGAAACTAAGAGCACAAGTATTCGGTAACTCATCTCGAGTTTTTTATTTAATTTTAGTTAGTTTTTATTATATAATAGTTTTTTATTTATTATAATAGTTTTATTATAATAGTTTTTTATTTTTAATTTTTATTCCTTTCATGCTGGTTTATTCAACAGGGCGGTAATACGTACCAAACATAAGCCAACAAAAATATTGAGAGCAGGAAAAATACCAAGTAAATTCACAATATTTTCACTAAATAATAAGACAGTCGCTGCACAAACACCTCAGCCATCATACGTAGACGCACTCTCGGCCGCTGAGGCCTCAACAAGCACATTAGCACAAACGAGGGAAGTTTCCTATATACGTCAAAAGGGGGAGGGGAGCATGGGTCATGGTCCCCTCATATAGCCCTCGAAGTTATAGGGCGTCACCGAGGGCTCTTAGGACTTGATAATGTACGTCAATTCGAAACGAGCGAGGGTCGCATCTGCCTCATACATTACCCGTGTGCGTTCAAGTAAGTAATAAATAAAATGGTAAGCACAGCCATTAGATGTGTCATCCAGTACCAATAATATAGACTAGATGGAAATTATGAATGTTGAGAAACGCATGAAGTCCTAGGATAATTGATTGTCTAGACGTGGAATAGTTGATGTGGAACAAAGCCGGGGTGACAAGTCTCGGCCAAATTAGTGCTCGAGATGCCGGAAAATGGGCTACTGATGGAAATAGATTAGCTTTCCGGACCGAGTCCCGCCAGTCTTCGTGTGATGTGGATTTGTAAAGAATTGCTGAACAATGAAGCAGGCGACGCAAATATAATGTTACGCATTCAAATGATACCGGAAATGGGGAAAAAATGGGTAGGTTACACTGTTGTGAATCTTTTAAAATATGATTCAGAGAAGTTAGCATGGAAGCACTTCTCATAATTAGGATTTAGATTTTGACAACAGTCGTGTATGGTCAAATTTAATTTCTTCGATGCATTTCATGATTATATGCTTCTTGTTGATGACATGAATGAACATGCCAAAACTTCACAAAATCCGTACAAAATTTCCACCCTTGTTATATCAGTTTTTCATTTTCAGACCAAAAACTTCCGGGAAAATTGTCGCTTCATTTTGGGTTCTAAGAATTCGCGCGGCTTCCTCGCCGCAATTTTCGAGGTTTTCCCTCACATTTTTATCCCGGAGCACAGCAGACCTCGTGTATCTCCTAAGACCTCTCCCTGCCCCTCTGTCAGCCTCCCCCCGGCCCTCAGGCAGCCTTCACCGTCCATCAGCCCTCACCACCCTCCGCCATCCCACATCACCCTCAGTCATCACTCATAACCCTACGGCAGATCTCACTACCCGCCGGGAGCCCTCACCACCTTCCGCCAGCCATCACCACCATCCTTCGACCCTCATCACCCTCCGTCAGCCCTCATCACCCTTCGTCAGCCCTCATGACTCTCCGTCAGCCCTCATCACCCTCCGTTAGCCCTCATGACTCTCCGTCAGCCCCCATCACCTTTCATCACCCTTTTTCAGCTTCATCACCCTCCACCAGCCCGCACCACCCTCCGCCAGCCCTCACCACCCTCCGTTAGCCCTCATGACTCTCCGTCAGCACTCATCACCTTTCATCACCCTTTTTCAGCTTCATCACCCTCCACCAGCCCGCACCACCCTCCGCCAGCCCTCACCACCCTCCACCAGCCCTCACCACCCTCCACCAGCCCTCACCACCCTCCACCAGCCCTCACCACCCTCCACCAGCGCTCACCACCCTCCACCAGCCCTCACAACCCTCCACCAGCCTTCACCACCCTCCACCAGCCCGCACCACCCTCCGCCAGCCCTCACCACCCTCCACCAGCCCTCACCACCCTCCACCAGCCCTCACCACCCTCCACCAGCCCTCACCACCCTCCACCAGACCCCACCACCCGTCATCACCCCTCACCACCCTCCGCCAGCCCCCACCACGTCATCACCCCTCGCTTCCCTTTTGCCATTCCAGTCGGACGAGCAGCAAATTTATTGCCACCGCTGCTCTCTCGCTGCCACCCGCAAAATTTCTTTCCAGCAGCACACCATCAAGGAAATGCTGCGCCAGACTGGGAGATGCGAGAAATGCTGCCTCACGCTCCAAAATACTGTCGGAAATGTTACAAAGGAAATGGGAGACCGGAGAAATGATGCCTATACATGGGTATATCTGCCTAGAAGAACGCGATGAGAAGAATATGAGAGTGTACAGAATATGCGAGTGCAGACAGAAAAGCACTGTTATTTTCTAATGTGAATGCCAGTAAATATACCTTATGGAAGTAAACGCAGGTATGGAATTAAGGAACAAGACCTTAATAAATGGAACGTTCAAAAAGGTAGAAAAAGGTACAATCTCGTAAGGACTTCGCTGATAAAATTGCACAAAAAATACAAAACTCTTAGAAATTCAAGTCTCAGAATAAATTTTTCACCTCTGATTTGAACAGCATTAATGCTTTAGATAATAACTGCAATATTAACAAATTAAAATATTCAATTTTTTAATTACTCAATGAAGCGAGTTTATTTTCAATTTAGTAATATAAGGCACAATTCGTGAAGTACGCTTGCAATAGATCATGTTATATAGAAAAAATGCACGTTCTTCGTAATGGTTCGTAGCCGAGTATTGAACAACTATAACTCCTTACATTAAAAACGTATTAAATTAGGAGTTTAGCTCACGCAAGCGTTCAATATGGGGTCCGACTTGGATCCCTCCACACGGCATCATTAGACACGAATGAATGACCTCACGGACGACCTTAAAAACAATAACGATTCATTAGAAACAAGCTCAAGTCTTTCAGTATAAAACAAGCTCGTGTTGTTCTGTTGGACAATTATTCCCTCGTGTTTCGCATTGACAATCGAGCGTACGACATGATTATGATGGACGAATAAGTGATCGCGTGTTGGCGTCCCCAAAACGTCAGTAACTGCGCAATTCACACAATTTTCAGCACATTCTCGGAGACTTTTAGCGTCGAGCAAAGTGCGGCTTTCGGTACAAAACGAAGCGCAAAAATGTTCGTTGGCAGCACCAGCAAAGTATTTTTTACCAGACGTTACTCGCTTTAGACGCTTGCCATTAAAGCCTTGCAAATTCTATTACCACGGGGCTTTGTTGGGATGCTGCTGCAAAAGCTCTTTCGCTCGAACGCTGCTTCAACTTCACAAAACAAACGAGCACAGCAAAAACTATTCTAGCAAAAAGCCTAGCATATTGACGCTCGTTGCGCGTTAGATGTTTTCTCGCCAAGTGTATCTAACGTGTGCCTTGCTCGCCTCAGATCTTTTAACGAATTATAAGCCTTCAGACTTACAGAGCTTGAATTAATAGCTTCGAAGATGAAGTTTAAAGACGTGGGTTTCAGACACTCATTGAAGGCTGTAGTTCATACATCATACCTATAGCGAAATACAGATAAACACGTAGCGCACTACTATTTATGTGTTGTGTACCTAGCAGTTACGAGTAATAAACGATATCAAATGCTTGGCGAGTTATTCATTCTGCCGTTTACAGAGCTAAAAAAACCTGCTTGAAATATACGTGCTACTTATTGCACCTTAAAATCCTGTCCAAGAAAAGTGTTATAAAGCAAAGTTAAATCCTCAGGCCAGCCACATGAATTAATAGCGTAGAATGCAGCTCTTACCTGACGCGATAAGCCAAACCAGGCGGTTAAATTTCAATTAATAGCAATAATCAGTTTTTGTTGTTATAGAGCATACACTTACTGAACTTTAAATTACACTAAAGACAAGAGAAAATAAGAAATTTAGAAGAAATTTAGCACAATAAATTGGAAATATGAATTTAGAGATACGGACTTTAACTAAAAGAAAAAAACGTATTTACGAATTAATAATTAATAAGAAAATTTAAGAATTAATAAATTACAACCGCATTTTGAGAAGGCATTCTTCTCCACCATATATAAGAGGTGAGGGCTCAAGGCTAATGGTCAAGTACTCAAGTACAACAGAAAGTGCATCCCATGGTACACCCCACAATACAGCTTACAGTACAACAACGTCCAGAACAGTGCGCAGTAATTTCTAGGCGTCATTATTCGCTTCATTTCCAGCCGTTTAGAGTTGTTTCATATCTAGCCTTGACGAGACGCTTCATCTTTTGCCTTCATAATACTGAAGCTTCATTCCTAGTCCTCCCACAACGGCTTATTTATAGCTGTCATATGACAGATCATTCCTTAATTGCCTTTGCCGGACGTTTTATTCCAAAACGCATGATGATTCATTCGTTGTCGTCGTATTACCGTCGAATCAACCGTCGTATTGCCGACTATTCATTTGTTGTTATATATGTTACCTCATTCCACTTCATTCACACTTCCAAGACGTTGAATAATATTTTATTTGTTGTAGTCACATGAAGCTTCATTTGCTATCGTCATATTACGCTATTGCAGTTTTCATGTGACGCTTCATTACTTGCCCCGTCGTCGGACGGTAACTTTCAAAGCGGCGAGCAACAATCGCTTTATTGGTGATGCTTTGTAAGCTTTACATCGATCCTCGCGAATAAAGGTTACGAGGACAGCAGCTACACGTTAATTCCGGGGAATTCAAGCGAAGAATTAACTTCGAATGAACAGGAGGATGAACAAAAAGTTCAATACTGCAACGATGTAATTGAAACCATCGAGATTGGCTCACAGAAATAAAAGCATTGCGCGCTTACATTCAGTTAGACAAGATAAAATAAATAAAAATGAACAATAAGAAAAACAAAATATTTTGATAGCACATTTTCGGGACCAACTCACCAAATGCGTTTGCAGAACATAAATTAACCAGTTATTGACACTCAGTCAGATAGTCAATAGCTCACCGATAATACTTTAAAATATTATTTTGAACCATATTTACATTATTTATTCGCGATTTTTTTGGAAACTCAACTAAAGATTATCGTTTCTCTACACGCAACGAATTACTGACGGTTGAATAACGTATCCATCAATGATCGTTTTTCAACGATTCTTTGACGTATATACACGTTCAAAGATCATGTATCTCGTATATTAATCATCGCTGGTGCACTACACGATGCAAATCACATACCTATATAGTATACGATCGTACAGCTCTTAGATCAATCATCATGCGCATGCACGATCACGCCTAGGCGATCATATGGCTCGCAAATCAATCATTACGTGCAATAAAGTCGTGGACGGCAGGGACTCTCAATAATGCAGTGGTCGTGCCTCAGCGCATGCATGTCTCCAGCATAATATTGGCCGTTGCAGAAAAAAAGGTTCGAAAACATCCTGTCTCTGCTATGCTCGAACACCAACACATCTCCGCTTGGAGACAAAACCTGGAGGTTCGGCCAAGACCATATTTACGTCATGGAAAGTGATCATCACTGGACGCCGGCCCTCGTGATGCTGCCAGGAAAGCCCGTTGGATGGGGTTTGTGGCTTCATGGGACAGGATGGAATTATTAATGACATTCGCTCACGCAGAGAGAAGGCTCATTGTTAGCTACCAGACCAAAGCGAAGAGTTCATAAGCGCGAGTTCAAGAAGACTATTGTCCGAGCTCAACAATGGAGCTATCATTGAGTGTATAGACTATCAGTGACCGTACATGCGGAGAACATCAGTATACGAGTGACAACTTCGTAGCTGTGGCCGTCAAAAAACGTATGAAAACTATCATGATGTCTGCAAAAGATGACTTCGACAGTACGCTATAAAGCTCCGAGGCTGAACATTGCAGCTGCAGCGCTCAATGAACTATACAACCTAATCCTGCAACCTCATACATGTGCGAGGACGCAGAACCAAGGACATTTTTTTAATATAGGGTCTTAGTACGGTAGAAAATAGTAGAGAGTAAGGTGTCTCTATTAGTATAAAGACTTTAAATAAGCTGTGTTTCGCGGAATTTGTTGCGACGTTAAAACAACAATACATTTTATGAATAAGTATTTATATGGTGTAGGTATTTGGACAGAACACTACTTAACGTGTGGTAACAAAATTGATTACCTAGGTGCTTGATATACTTCAAACATTCTGCGGAAATTTGTTGGAGTAGTTCTGTTTCAAGCAACAAAATACAGGCATAGCATTGAAATGCACTGACTTGGAAATACCACCAAGTTTAGCAATTGCAGGCCGGCCGCTTTGCTATGCTAGCTTCAACGTAAACGGCATTAGCAAACTTCTCACTTGAGCACTGTGCTTTGCTCAGAATCTTGTGAATTCACACGACGGAGTGTTCGGCAAAGTTCAGTTAACTCGAGAGCCTTTCATTACTCGGGCTGCTAAGTGAAGACAACCGTCACTTTTCTCAGCTAGAACAGCGTCGCCAGACGCCATGACTCCTCAAACAGGTCTCATTACGGCGGCTCCTTTTACTGGCTCATTACAGCTAAATTAGGGCCTGTTTACCGCTAATTAGAAGCTTATCGGCAACAGCGACTGATCGCTTCTCCTTACCGTGTATCAATTCTGTTGAGTCCCTCAAGGCGTCTACCAAACATCGAAGACCTACTCTGTCAAAGCCTCGACAGCGAACCATCTTAGTTACTTAACGCTTGCAGAAATGCATGCTAGAAAAAATTAATGCAGTCTTGAAAGTCGACAACACAAAGGAAAAATATTGAAAATTTTAAGCGCTCGAATTGTATAAATAAGTCAGATCTGCAACTTAAAAGACCAGAATCTGCAAAAGTAACTTATTTAAAGGCTCGAATTGCATAAATTACAATCAGTTCTGCAGATTCTCGGCTTTCGAGTTGTAAATTTAAAAAATGAATGTATAGGCAAGCAAAGCATATTTTTCCACAAGTATGGTAGGCTATGAATTTTCATTCAGAACCGATGTCAAGTATAGCCTGAAATAAACAAAGATTCCATCAAGTTCTCCAAAATATACATCGGTCAAAAGAGGCCCTTCACTCGGCAGTATGCGAATCTCTCCACTTGAAACTCCACAAGTGCTCAAGCCTTCAAATCAGCAATGAAGAAGACTATACATTCTCCTCTTGAACGGCCGGTAATTCATCCTAGGAACTTCTTGTCATGTTTATCTTGCTGTCATCTGTCTCGAGAGCCCCCAGTCTCCGCCGCGGACTAGCACCTCTACCACCGAAAATACTCAGC